GCGGTTTTATATAAATGCAAATTGTCACACCTTCCTTCCCCCACGCAGTACTGCTCAAGCACGAAATGGGTAGCAGCTGAGGAAAAAGAGGTGGTGTTGCAGTTACTGGCTGGCTGTGACGTCACCTGAAATTGTCTCTAGGCGGGGAAAACGTGCGGGGCGGGGTGGGGGAGGGGAAGGAGAAGCTGGGGGAGGGGGGAGGCTCAGGAGGCTCTGGGAGAGGAACTCTGCTAGTCACAAGCCACAGTTCAGCATTCACAAGACGAGACCACCTGAGGTGGAAGTTCAGCCTTTGTCACCAAGGCCAGCTCATAATAGTAGTTGAAATAGGAACTCAGGGTGCCGCCCATAAGGAATCATCTAGAACTGAAGGGAAAAAAATGTTACCAACATCCTAATCTTTGTTGATACAAAAGAACACGCACTTACGGAGTTTTACAGTACATCGGATTCTGACTTTAATCTTACTGGACACATGTTTATTTTCCATGCAGGGCAAAGTGTACGGTGGGGAAGAGAGGACTTAGAGGGTGACAGGAGCAGATGCAGCCGACCCCCCACCCCGGGAAAGGTTGAGGGCAAGCCGGGAGGAGCCAGGTTTGGCTGTCGCAGCTCCCTGGGCTGCCACTGACTGCTTGGGTGACATTGGACACAAAACCCAACCTCTGTGGCTACTGGAGGTCAGGGACATGAGGCTCGCCTCCCCAGGTCGGATGAGGGACCTTAATTAAGTGTGTCTGCAAATCGCTTAGCACAAGGCACACAGTAACTGCTTAGCAAACATCAGCTTATAGTGACTGTTACTTTGTGCCATCTGGTGTTTATCGCTTATTTGCTTTGACACTTCTCTCCCAGAGCCTGCAGAGGGTAGCAGAGCACTGTGGTCAGCTGGCCCTTCTTTCTGCCTTTTCTCAGGGCCATAAAGATGGCTTAGTTACTCTTTAAATCAGAAGGAAAAACACATGTTAATGAATACGTAACAATGAATCCATCCTTGATTATAAATCTTTACGCCAACATGCTCATCAAACATAATTTTAAGTATTTTTTTAAGGGAGAAAGGGGCCACGAAGGTGAGGTGCCTTGAGCCTACAAAAGTCATAATTCAGCCCCACAGGTTCTAGAATTCATGTGGGTTGGCAGTTTGAGCTGCCTTTTGGCAAAGGCTGGAGGGGCTGAGCCAACAAAGTCCCTTGCGGGGGATGTAGGAGACATCATTTATCAGCTTCAGAAAAGCACAGACCTTTTCCTAGAGAAAAGCGTCCGTGCCCAGATATGCAGAGCAAACAGGTAACTGAACAGGTGGAGTCTGAGGGGAGACCTTGCGGCGAGAGCTTGGGGGTGTGGTGACAGCGCTGGATTCAGTGTGGGGGACGAAGATGCCACGTGCTGGAGTTCTCAAACACCAGAAGCTTGCATCTTACACCTTACATGGGTGCTTGTTGACACCAGTCATTTCTGAAGGAAGTATCTTTATAATGCTTCACATTCCCTAGCTTTCTCTGAGTATTTTTAACTTTTATTAATGGTATGTGTACACACACACACACACACACACACACACACACACACACACACACACGTCCAATAGTACTAAAAGATGAAGACAAATAACAGGGGTTCCCTGCTTCACATTTCTGTCTTTCAGGGTTCCTCATTCTTGCTCCTGGAAGGCAATCACCTTCACCCTTTCTAAGCCCCTTCTATTTTTCTGGCATTCAGCTGACTATTTCTAAGGAAAACACACATACAACCATTTTCTGACATGTCAGTTTCAGATAGCAGCTACTGTTGTCCTGTTCCAGTAGATGAAGTCTTCACTGCCTGACACCCCATCTTATTTCTCCTCTCTCCTCCAGCTGTTATAGCATAATTTTTTATTAAGTCTGTGTTTAGAATGTTCATTATTAGTGCTGTGGAAATGTCCACTGTGGAGCCAGACATTACCCTCCCTTTCTTAGACACTATTTAGGTTGTCCGGATTAGTATTTGTCTCACTTTTAATATTTGTTTTGTTATCTTTTTGCCCCACTCTTTAATTCTTTCTAAAGAGGCCAAGTAATCAGCAGAACATGATCAAAGACATCAGGCAATTTATCTGCTCCTTTTATTCCTCCGGAGCCCTGCTGAGAAACAGGGGGTGTCTCGCCCCTTTGGGCGGCTCCCCTGCCAGCCTCTGGGCATTCCTCCTTACTGCTCTCCTGTGTGGGATCCTGGTGTTCTGGACCTACAACCTTGCCCTTTCTTCCATATTCTTTCCCTTTCCTCTCACACTTACTCTTTCGATTGGTAGCTTCTTGAGAAAGCAAACATGAGTCATAAATCATTTTGAGCCATTGTGCCTCTGAAAATGTCTCACTTCTGTGTATTGAATTGATTGAGTTCCTAGAATTTTGAAACATCTCTCTAGCACAGTCTAGCTCCCAGTGTTGATAAGAAGTCCAAAGTCATTCTGGTTCTTAGGCCTTTACGTTGGATTGGAAACTTCGGGGGTTCTCCCTTTATACCAGGAATCCTGCAGTTTCATGATGCTGTGTTCTGGGGGATCTTTTTCATTCATGGTGTTGGACATTGAGTGCGCTCCTTTCAACCCAGAGACTTCTTCCTTCTGCCTCGTTAAATGTCCTTGTACTCTTTCCTTAAAACTTCCTTCCCTCTACTTTCTCAGTTCTCCCTTTCTGGAACCCCTGTTAGTCAGATATGACACCACTCAATTTGGATCCTCTAATTTTCTTACCTTTTCCGAGTGCTGATCTCTTTGTCCCACTGTGCTACTTTCTGTGTTATCATATTAAGTTTCTAACTTCAGTACAAACAAAAGTCTCTGAATCTCCACAGTCTTTTAGTATCTTCTAAAACCATGTGGGTACTTCTTGTCCATCATTGTTTCCTCTTGTGGACTTACACTTTTAAAATTCTTTGATTTTAAAGTGATTCCTTGTCACTTTGGTGTGGCTTTTGGAAGGATTTTGGGGAGTGGTGCTGGGGGGGGTGGGTAGAGACAGAGTGGAGGTTTCCTGGTGGCTCCCTGGTGCTTCTGTTCCTGTCTTGTTGCTGATCTGCTTACCCCATAGGACCTGGACAGACCACTGGGTTCAGTCACCACCCTCCCCTTCAAACTGACCCTATGATGTCCTCAGCTTGTAGAGGTAGAAGGTATGATGGAAGATTTCTGGACTGGGGTCCTACAGAGTTGGCTTAAACTCCAGCTTTGTGCTTCATCGGTGGTGTCTGCTTACCCCAGGCACAGAACCTCAGTGTCCCCACGTCCTCCTCTATGAAACAGCTCTCTCATCCCTACTGCATCCATGACAGGTGGTTATTACAAGCTTCAACTCAAGAGATATCATGTGTATACAGAGAACAAACGAGTGGTTATCAGAGGGGAAAGCGGCGAAGGGAGGGGCAAAATTGGGGAAGGGGATAAAGAGGCACAAACGACTAAGTATAAAATAAATAAGTTACAAGGATATACTGTACAGCGTAGGGAATATAGTCAATGTTTTATGATAATTTTGTATGGAGTATATTCTATAAAAATATGTTGTACACCTGAAACTAACATAATGTAAGATATACTTCAATGTAAAGAGAGTGATGTCATGTGTAAGAGTGTGGTTGAACTGTAAGATGTTATGAACATGTTAATTGGACCTGACCGTGAACCATAGAGCTGACAGCTAGTTGCTCAGGAGGAGCCCATGTTTGGAGGCAGAGCATGGGATGTTTTAACATCCTGGCTGCCTGCATGTTCCGTGACTCCCTCTGAATACTTGCTCCAGACCATGGCTGGAATACTGGGAGCCTTGAACTTGAAAACTCAGTTGCCCTTGTGGAGGAAACAGGGATGAAACAATATGTGTGGAAGAGGACTCCCCTGAAGAGATACAAACTGGCAGTTGCAAGTGGTGTTGGGAAAGCTGGACAGCCACATGTAAATCAATGAAGTTAGAACACAACCTCACACCATTCACAAAAAAACATAAAAAGGCTTAAAGACTTAAACATAAGATACTACAAACCTCCTAGAAGAAAACATAGGCAAAACATTTTCCAACATAAATCTTAGCACTGTTCTCCTAGGGCAGTCTACTAAGGCAATAGAAATAAAAGCAAAAATAAACTAAGGGGACCCAATCAAGCTTATAAACTTTTGCACAGCAAAGGAAACTATAAACAAAACAAAGAGACAACGTACTGAATGACAGAAAACATTTGCAAATGATATGACTGACACAGGCTTAATTTCCAGAATATACAAATAACTCATACAACTCAATAACAATAACAATAACCCAATCAAAAAATGGCAGGAGCCTAAACAAACATCTCTCCAATGAAGACATACAAATGGCCAACAGGCACACGAAAAAATTCTCAGTACTGCTAACTATTAGAGAAAGGCAAATCAAAACTACAGTGAGATGTCACCTCACCCCAGTCAGAATGTCCATCATTAAAAAGTCCACAAATGATAAATGCTGGCGAGGGTGTGGAGAAAAGGGAACCCTCCTGCACTGCTGATGGGAATGTAGTTTTGTGCAGCCATTATGGAAAACAGTACGAAGATTCCTTAAAAAGCTTAAAATAGACTTACATATAATCCAAAAATCCCATTCCTGTGCATATATCTGGAGGAAACTCTATTTTGAAAAGATACAGTTGAGGAAACTCTAGCAAGTCTCACCTGCTGTCAGGCAAGGTGACCAGGCACCAAGTGTGGTGTCATCACCAGGAGGGATGCCAAGAAGGTGGGTGTGATCAAGAAAGTTAGAACAGACTCGTACCTTGTCCCAAGAAAGAACGTGACAAACCCAAGGGCAGAGGTGCAGAGTAAAGAAAGGTCAGGGAGCTAAATGTTATCAGTGTCTTTAGGACCACCCAGGGAAAATGCCAGTGGGGCACATGCCCATCACATCTGCTTGGCAGCTCTACTGTCTTAGCAGAGATGGCCATGTCAGTCCAAAAAGCT